ATTACAGGCGCCATCTCTTGAGAGATTTACTCGAAAGTATTTGAAGCTCGACTCTTCCGCCAGTGGGTCGCCGTTCATGTTAACACTGACTCTGGTGTGACTTGCATTTATGTTGTCGTCATAATCTTATAAAAATGTTCGAACCAAGAAAATTGCAATGTTTATTATTTAGCATATTATAAAGAAATAATTATGAATCTAGAAAGCTATTTATATCTATGAACAAAAGAACAAGAATATTTAAATTAACGCATATGGAAGAGTAACTGTTAAAATTTTTGTAAAAACTTATTTTCTGCGAATTTCTTTCATTTGCTTTTACTAGATAAATTTCACAGACATTTTGACAGCTGAGAAAAAGTATAAAATCCATTTTCATATATCTGGGATTTATCAAAACTCTAAAAATTGATTATACAATAATAGCGGTTTCAAGAGAAAAAAGATCCTTTTGTTTAAGGGTACGTTTTTTAAAAGTTGGCCAAATTTGGTATAGTTCTGTTTGATTTTTGTAACTAGCAAATATTTTAAGGTGGCACACACGCATAACTCTACCTTCCGCATTTCAAACTAAGCGAAAACAAATACTTTTGTCTACTTAATAACAAACGTAGAGTTAGCTCAATATATTATTATCTAGAATGCGACAAAGGACACGTCAACTGAAAGCGACAATTCAAAGCAACCGATATGAAATCTAACCTTTTGAAGCAACCAACCACTAACATTTCATTAATTTTCTTACGATTCAGCTACTATCGAGGCTGCTGATAATGACGTGCCTCCTTGCCATTGGCGGAATTTTCAATTCGAGAATACAACTTTTATTTAGACTAATGACACGAATGATGAATACAGTCCGATATCTCGCGATTTCAATGCCACAGAATGTAGACATGAAGACCGGAAATAATCGAGCCATTTTAAAATATCTTGAGAAGTCTATAAGATACTCTCTCTTTAGGCTATTCCGTCGACAGTTTGATACCAGTGACTAAATTTTGTACTGTGTGCCCATCATATTCACAAGAATCGAGTGAAAAGTTTTGTTTGAGATTTGGGGATTACTCTTCGGTAAAACGATTGGAATGATTCTGTAAAAGAAGAGGTGAAGATTTTGGTACTGTTCTTTAGAATTTGTCCGTTTGGAGCCATGCACGCCCCGGAAAGATTTCAAGAAGCAAGATAAATATTGAATGTCTGCAGGTTGAAATTAAAAAAGGTTTAACAGAGCGAAAATTAGAAAAAAAAAAGCATCAGATTTCGGAATTATCTTGATATAAAAAAATACAAACCTCTCATACAGTTTTCTCCCTCTACCAGCCATTTCTACGTTGCTTCTCCATCTTTTCTTGCATCGGTGTACACACACACACACAAAAAAAAAAAAAAAAAAACAGGGAAAGAACCGCTGCACATTCACAGGTAAACGAAAGTTGAAAAATAAATGGGAAATGAGAAATCGAACCCTGTTTCCATTATATTTTGGTGTTTTATTCAATTAGAGACTCGCTTATCGGCCCTGGATGGATAGGTAGGTGACACTTAAGAGTGTTCAATATCAAGGATAGAGCATATGTAAATATAAAAGTGAACACTGAGGTCAAAACCGAGTAACAACCGTCTGTTTCATGTTTGACTGCAATATTCAAACTTTTCAATCTTTTGAAATATAACCGTTGTCACATACCCAATAACCGCGAAGGCAATACAATAGAAAAACTACATTCAGGACCGCAGTTATTTCTACTCAACAACCTTTAGAATAATTTGAAATATAACCGTGACCGTCTACCCAATAACCGATAGGATAATATAATAGACCTTGCTATTCATAATGCACTATTACCAGCATATACAAATAGTTGAGTCAGGATATCTCGACGTGGTGTAATGGTTAGAAAGCTTGTCTTGCTGGATCAATAATGAGGTCGATCCTCACTGGGTGCCTTCATACTTTCCGCCTTCTGCCACATCTAATCTGAGTTTAGAAAATCACTATACAAATAAACGAGCCAAAACATGAGTTAAAGTCTGCGTTCAAGACATTCCAACATTCTGAAGAAGGCCGGAGCGTACAACGGCCGAAACGTTGTAATAAATATGGCTACAAAGATGAGGACTATTGTCCGAATAATGTAAATAATGTACATAATACCTCATCTCAGAAATATAGACAGATACCAAATGCAAATTCATTTGTTACACTTAATAATAATAATAATAATAATAATAATAATAATAATAAGTGCCTTCTTATTGATATGGCATTCCCTGCAGACAGCAACGTATCTTTCAATATATTCAAAAAGCTGTCTAAATACAAGGACCTTGAAATAGAAATCTCAAAAATGTGGCACATGGGAACATCAATAATCCCTGTTGTAGTTGGAGCCCTAGGATTTGTTGGAAAATATTGCAGTAGACTAACTGAAGGGATTCCTCGAAGTTCATGCCTTAAAGAAATGCAAAAAAATGTTCTGACAAGTACAGCCCACACTTTACGAAGGGCTTTATCTATGTAATTTTTTTTTTTTTTTTTTCAGTGGAAAATGTCATGATGCCATTTCTAACCTTAAGTCCTTGAACGGGACCCGGAAATAAATGTGTAAACGCCAGAAATCAAAGGAAATAAAAATAATAACAATATCTTTGAAGAACATAAAAAAATTATCGAAATAAAAGGTTCTTAAAGCGGAAATCTAAAAATATTCTGGCACATGAGGAGATCAATAATTCCATTTGACGTTGGGGTCCTGGGTTTGATTGGAAAAAGTTTCGAAAGACTTCATTGAATGCATCCCTTGTAGTTCATGCCTTAAAGAATTATAAAAAAAACACTTTCTCACAAGTACAGCCCACACCTTTCGAATGGCTTTACCTATGGAAATATCTTTGATCTTAGATTCTTTTTATCATTATTCTTTTAGAAAGTTTTAAATGGAAAATGTCATGATGCCATTTCTGACTTTCAGCAAGGAACGTTAAAATCAGAATCTAGGAGAAAGTTCTTGAGTCAGAAAAATTGCAAGATTTGTGGAACTATTCAATGCAAACAAATAAGTAACTGGATCACAACAAACCAGAAATATATTTGTGAAAACTAAAATAGAAAACGGAGGCTTAATTATTGATCCATCATATGTTTTTGAAACAACAGTAGAACGAAAAGGGGACGCGAAAATAATCAACAATTAGATGTTCGAACTCGCAAGTCTAGAAGAAGCCTCAACAGAATATATAATGATCTAGACGGATGTTTCGTACTATATTTGGGACTAAACAGCAGTGCGCATCCACTACCGAGAATTGAAACGCTGACAGTTAGATAATCAAGTAAACATCATACAAACTGTGCTAACGGGCCTCGGTGACGAAGAGATTGCAAATCAGACTCAACATAGCGCCGCTCGCTCACATATTCCGTGGTAGAACTCTACTTCTCTGTAACCATAGGACTGTTCCCTCTGGAGCAACGACTACTCTCACCAAGCCGCTCACTCTAGAGCTTTAGAAGCCGGTTCAAGGACAAGAAAAACAACACCGAGAAGCGACACTGTTTCCGGGTAAACGCAGTCGGCAGACCTGACGATTGCGTTTACACGGAAACAGACTGCCTTCTCTGGGTGATGACTTTAATGTCCACTTTTATATTTACACGCCCCTGTCCCTGATATAGAGCAATTTAACCCATAAATGTAACATACCTTAAAACTATATTCTATCATTCATGTATATATATATATATATATATATATATATATATATATATATATATATATATATATATATATATGTGTGTGTGTGTGTGTGTGTGTGTGTGTGTGTACTGGTATATTCAAAAGAAAAATCAGATCTTGCAAATTTAATAAAAGCAAATGCGAAGAGATACAAACATATTCAACATAATACCAACAAAAAGAAGCATTTAAACACGATCGAAAAAAAAATTCATTTATTTTAATAAATGTGAACTCTTTTCTATCTGTCAATATATTAAATGTGATTCTGTCACTTAGCATTTGCTTTTATTAAATTTTCGAAATCTTTTTCTTTTTAATAAACCTGTATGTGTGTGCGTTTATCTTTTCGTTTAGGTTTATTTTTATTTGTAGTTAAATTTTATTTTTATTTATATTTTTATCCTTTATTTTTTCTATATCCATTTCTTATATGTGTTTATTCTTTCACACATGAAAATAGACTACTCTATTATCTTGCCAGTATGTATTAGGTCGGAAAGTATGTATTAGGTGGGTAGCATAGAGCTGTGATAAGCAAATTAACTATTCTTTATATATATATATACTAAATATAGTCTGTAGTTCAAGTCCTGACCGGCTGTTCGGTTGAACTCTCTCCCTTCGGGCGAGGAGGAACCCGAAGGAGGCTACGCCCAAGGGCGGATTCTCTTTCGGGGAGGTAAACCGGCCCTGAACCCGTTTATACGGGTTCAATGGGCATGTTTTTGGGACGAGCCCACGGGTTCGGAGATCCCACATTAAATAACCGGCCTTGTGCCACATGATGCCCCACTAGTTATATTTTATAGTTATAAAATATAACTATCAAATATAGTTACATTTTATAGTTATATTATATAGTTATATTATAGTTTATAGTTAATTTAAAAATTAAAATTTAACAATAATATGCATGTAAGTAAGTTAATATTTATATTTTTTTTTTATTATTTATTAAATATTTGAATGAAGGTATGTTACCTGAATATCCACATATATAGATACAGAGAAGCTGGAAGAACAGACAGCGATAGACAATATCACTTTAAACGTTATTTTTAATGGATGCTCATATCTGAGTAGACGCTTCTTTGCTTTATTAAACAGTATGTTTATTTATTTTCGTTGAGCTGCCTGAATTCTCGAAAAATCTTTTTAAAGAAAAATAAAAATAAGACGGGATTAGAACCTGCGACTCTTAGGCAGAGGGCACCGTTGTTAGATCTGGCGTACTTTACGACTGAGCTACACAAAACTCTATTGATAGATAGATAGATAGATAGATAGATAGATAGATAGATAGATAATGTACAAGATGCGATAGAAAGATAATGAACAAAATGAGATAGATAGATAGATAGATAGATAGATAGATAGATAATGTACAACATGCGATAGACAAAGAAATAAAAAGTGAGATAGATAGATAGATAGATAGATAGATAGATAGATAGATAGATAGATAATGTACAAGATGCGATAGAAAGATAATGAACAAAATGAGATAGATAGATAGATTGATAGATAATGATCAGACTAACACATGAACTGCTGACTTGAACACATGTCAGAATATTGTGATAAATTTTTTTTTTCTTTTTCTAAATTTTATGTCCCTTCAGGACGTGGGCGATAAGAACTCTCCAAAATTCCCAGTTTTTTTTTTGTAGTGAATCTCAAGTTCGTAAGATAGATTATTCGCTGCTTTCAACTGCTCCTCTTGCCTTTAGTATATACAGTGCGTTTCAAGTTTAACCGACTGAGCTACACAGAACTCTAGAAAATAGATAGCTAGCCAGATAGATAGATAGATAGATAGATAGATAGATAGATAGATAGATAGATAGATAATGATCAGACTGATAAATAGATGATGAACAGGCTAAAATAGTGTTGTGACAGAAATAAAGACACAAGAGAGGAATTGAGTTTGACAAATATATTAAAACAGTAATACAAACTTATACAAACGAGAGTGTTACGAATGTTCTGTCCGATTGTCAGAGCTGACTGCTGGAAACTTCCCTCTCCAAAAGGCAGTCCCTGCTCCTATTTATATCTGGGAGAGCCCATGCGTGCGTGGGTAAATTACCATAACAGATCGATAGCTAGATACATAGATAGATTTCACTTAGCCGTATCTAGACTGAAAAATAAACATAAGTTTAATCATCAAGTTTCGTTTAATAATGTTGACAAAGCCCACAAGAGATGATGACACCATTTCGTCGATACCAAAAATAAGATATGGCGTGTTTCATTTGAAAGAATTACAGCGTTTTCCCTTGAAGGTTTTCAAATTAATGAAAGTGAAAAGAAAAATAAATGCTACTGTGACTAACATTCCAGTTAAGAACGAATGTTGTGTTACCTGACTTCTACTACAGTATTTAGCCGTAAAGTAGTTGAAACGACAAAACATAACCAATAAGAATATAGAATATATGATATAATATATATATATATATATATGTGTGTGTGTGTGTGTGTATTATAATTTTATCATATAGACGAAACCATTTTACTCACTACAAAGATGCAACTCTGTAGTGAGTAAAATAGTTTTGTCTATATGATAAAATTATAATAAATAAATAATTATCGCTCTACTATCGGTATCGATCCTCTTTTGGATTAATGCTGAACGTTGGAATTTATATATTACTATCGTTCTCATCGTATCGGATATATATATATATATATATATATATATATATATATATATATATATATATATATATATAATAAATTAATTGATTTAAAATATGGTTTTAAAAAACCATATTTTAAATCAATTAATTTATAATATTAATGCTCTGTAAATTTACATTGAGCACTATTTTGTAAAAATAAAATATCTATAAGAACACCGGATTTTATATCTTTTACTGTTCTTATATATATATATATATATAAGTAGAGAGAGAGAGAGAGATGGAAAGATATAGTATATGTTCATATATATATATATATAGTATGTCATATATATATATATATATATATATATATATATATATATATATAGTTTATGCAAAACTAGTTAATCCGTATGGGTAGACCCAAGGAGGATGATATCTAGAGAGCTCAATGTAAATTCAGAGCAAATATGTTTGAATAAAAACAGATCACTTTAAGATTCCATGTAATAAGTTATTTCACCACAGCCCTTTTAAAGGGCTCTGGATCATCAGACTTTACTTCCAAATGTAGATGTCAATTGAATAATGAACAAGAAAAATGTATGTGTATGAATATATAGAATATTGTAAAAGAAGGACCTAATTTTCTGTTGGTAATCTTTTATCCAATTCTGTCCTCTAATATTCTCCAATTGGAAGTGAGTTTAAATAAATAATACGGAGGTAAATTTTAAATTGATAATTTAATTTAAATTGAAATATATTACCCTTTAATAATCATTATTGATGATAAAAGTATTTGAATTGGAATAAACGTTGATAATTAGGTATCTAAAAACAGTAACGAATTTAATTTATGAACAAGAATCAAACGAATAGATGTCAACTTAACAAGCTATAAGAAAAAAGTTTAGGAAAATAAAAAGGATTACTAGATATAAAATGGATTATTCTTTCAATGTACTTTCTATGATTTTTCCAATCGATTATTTCATAGAAAATACCCAAAACTCCAACAAACTTCAAATTAAATTCGTCGTAGATTTTTTAGACATTTAGATTTATATCAAACTTTAACCCCCAAAGATACCCTTTAAAGTAATGTGAAATAACAGAGTCTAAGAATTTGAGTGAATCCTGATCTCAGGGACAAGATTTATTATTTTATTGTTAACTGTATCTTCCCCCTTTAAGTCGGTCTTCTACATTACCCCTTACCCATCAATATCTAGATAGCATACGTTAAGTTAAGCGGCGTCAAGCCTACACAGAGTGGGGTTAAGGATAAGGAATTGAAAATGGTACATCTAACTCACTCATATCTTCTCTCCCAACTCACTTCCTCACTTCAAGTTTTTTTTTTCATTTCAACTTTTGGAAGTAAAGCCTGATGAACCAGAGCCCTTTAAAATGGTTGTAGTGAAATAACTTATTACATAGAACCTTAAAGTGATCTGTTTTTATTCAATATATATATATATATATATATATATATATATAGTTATGGTCCGGTTCCTTTTACCACGGTGATAGTCCAAGGTAGAACCAATAAAGAAGAACTCGAACACAGGTATGGAATAACACAGATATATTACAAACAGGAATATATCCAGAGAAGTAGAAGTGTTAGTATGAACAATCAGGTTTAGTAGAGAGAACAATGTAGTCTCGACCAGTATCACTATTCCAATGTCGAGCAGTAATTGCATGAAAGCGACTCTGTTTCGGTCTCGACTCTTGACTCGACTTGAACTACTGACCCCTTACCTACTCCTGTGGCGCAGTATTTATTAAGTATGGAATAGTCCATTATTATTATTATGGGTAAGATCCCATAACAATACATATATATATATATATATATATATATATAAATAAGATATATATATATATATATTAATAAGCTATATATATATATATATATATATATATATATATATATATATATATATATATTAAGGTATATAATAATAATTAATAGGATAAAATGATATAAAATAGATATAGTAGGATATAATAATAATAATTAATAAGATATATATATATTAATAAATATAATAAGATAGACATACTTCGTTCTTATGTATATATATATATATATATATATATATATATATATATATATATATATATATATATAATCAGAATCGATCCGTTGGTATATAATCCGGGTGGATCCTAGTAATATTAATTATTAAAACTGATCGACAGGGAGTTCGATGTTTTTATTTTAATAGAGCATATGTATTTTTTACAAAAAACTAAAATTATCTCAACATAGGTAGAATTTATTTCAATCCGTTCCTCACACGATCATCATCAGCCTGTAAGTCCTTGTCTCGGGGTGTCATTCTAAATTTATTTTCAAAGTCAGTCTTCCTCTAGTAGGCTCCTTGTAAGAAACCTTACGCCCCACCAATCGCTGAAACTAATCCACTCTCATTATTTGTGTTATCGATTGGTCGGGGCGTAAGGTATCTTATCCCGGGGGTGGGGAGCGGTTTCGGTTTGGAGTTAATCATGGCCAGAATTTTTGTTTGTAGTTTAATATCAGTTCCTACTATATGGTCTTTCTTATGAAGGCCCCGGGTTGTGTTTTTCTGGGATTCACAGTAAATAGTTATTGTACTACCAAGCGATGGCGGATTTAAATTTAAGTTCGTTACGATTAATGTAAATTAGTTGAGTTATAGATTTATAGACTGTGGATAATATCAGAGTACCCAATGGAATAACTCGTGCTGTCCATCACTCTTATATGCATACATAGCTTCATGCATACGTATATGTACATTTACAGGATCATACATATATGCCACTGTACGTGCTCATACACCTCCACATATATGCAACTGTATTCTTATGTAATTTGGAATTTATTTCTATGTCTACATTTCGTAATTAGTTCTTTCCGTTGATTTAATTGTTTGCATTGATCTTATTTTATTTTATTATCCTGATGTTTTCTTCTAAACATAGCTTGCACCTACCCGTAAAACTATTTTTAAATTCTCCAGCAGTAAATTCGACCGAAAAAAAACTAAATCTAAGTTGGAAACCCCCTTTAATTGTGAATCAGCTTTCCGTTTAGCATGGTCACGTTGTCAACGTGACCATGCTAAACAGAAAGCTGATCATTTTTAAAATTTTCAGTTATCTGTTTTGGATAAGACTTGTTGTTTAGGTCCATCGTCTTTGTCAAATTGAAGTGAATTGTATTTTAATGAATATTGTCTTGAAAAAGGTTTATTAAACCGAAACGTCAGACGTCGACATTTCATTCATTTTAAACAACATAATTGCATTTAAGGATTTTTGTTTGTTTTTTCCAATTTTTCTTCATTCTGTCGCATCTATATCCATTTACATTTGCATTATATATATATATATATATATATATATATATATATATATATATATATATATATAAGGATAGATAGATAGATAGATAGATAGATAGATATGGATTATTATATATAGATAGATATATATTTATTTTATTATAATTTTATCATATAGACAAAACCATTTTACTCACTACAAAGATGCAACTTGGTTTCAGTGCATTTCAACTGCACTTTGACGGGTGAGAATCGAAAATGGTTATGAACAATCCTGCTTCTAGGCAAACCGTATCAAGCAGGATTGTTCATAACCATTTTCATTTTTCATAAATGGTTTTATCTATATGATAAAATTATAATAAATAAATAATTATCGCTCTACTATTGGTATCAAGCCCTCTTTTTGATTAATGCTATGAACGTTGGAATTTATATATTACTTTCGTTCTCATTGCATCATTACCCTGATGAGGTCCTTTGTTTTGCTGGCAGTATATTTTGGTTCATTGTCTTGTTACATAATAAACTTCCTCCCGATTAGTTTGGATGCAATCCTCTGCAAAATAGCTACCATCATCAGTTACATCATCAATAAATATGAATGAGCCTGTTTGTTCCAGAAGCAGTCATGAAACTCCAAGACAGTGCCTCCATCATGATCACATATTATCTTTATGCTTTGGATTATAAACAGATCCTTACTCTTCTTACAATTTAGCCTTTCTCTCACTTTTGTAAAGATTAATCTTTGTCTCATCAGTGCATAAAACTTTATTCCAGAACCTTTGTTGCTCATGTCTGCACTTTCTTGCACATTCCAATCTGGTCATTCGATAATTACTGTTGATGAGTGGCTTGCATCTTGAAGTATGCTTC